GATATCCAGCTTGCCAGACGTATCCGTGGCGAGAGAGCCTAAGCCTATCCTTGTCTCAGACAAACACAAACGGCCGTTTTCACGGCCACCTAAATCTTTAGAAAAGATGCCTTCATGCAATCCAAAGAAACGTAACAATAAATATAAATTATAAAACACAGGGTAGATCTACTTCGGTTTTCACATAAGAAACCTCTGAATAAGGTCAGGATATTACTGGGGAAATATAGAATAAAAATTATTGTATTTCGGAGAATATGCACAGAAATATACCGGCTAAAATTACGACAGTTTGCAGTCGTATTATTGTTAATGAACAAGCGAGTGTCTCGCACACACGCGAAAAAATAAAATAAAAACACCCTTACACACATTCATTCAGCGGTGTAGACATAAGACAAATGCATAGATCTGATAACATTGATTCATCAAAAGAACCATGAATATGAAGGAAAACACACGTATGTCTCTTGTGTATTTCACGTACAAATGACAGATTATGTGTATTTATTAGTCAATTAATATGTAGAAATGTGAATGCATCTTGCTTATTCGGATACAGAGAGAGAGAGAGTACAAACAATAAAACATTGAATGCTGCTTTTAAAGGAAATACTATAACAAAGTTAGTTGATTGAACTACATTCAAGAATTGTGATTTAACCCTTTATACATTGATTATAAAAAAAACCTATAAAATTTTATTTCATTTTTGTTTGTCTGTTTCTTTCTGGGTTTTTTATGATACATTCGTTAAATATGTATATAGTGGTGTCAGGTTTAATTCAGATTATTGGTTTTAATGTAATACTCGGATTAAAAAAAAAAATAAATAAAATAAATAAATAAATAAAAAAGAAAGAAAGAAACCAACCAAACAAAGAAAAAAGTAACAAAATTCCTATCAATAAATATTTAAAAAATCGAAAAATTGAATTATATCTTAATATTGAACGATAAAATATGGAAAGGCTGATTTTTATGATGGCTTAAAAATATGGGACACGGTTTAGTAGCAGCTCAAGGGCATACAAATGTAAACAAAAACATATGTAAGGCGCGCAGAGCGTAAACCAATCGCGCTGTGGCTTTCAGTGTGCTTTCGGGACTTGCCGAGTTTTCAAGACATTGTAGTTTCTAGCGCGTCGTGTAGTGACTGCTATATATACCGTGATTCCCGTCGTGTTAGAACATTTCAGAAGATTATCTACTGAGAGCTGAACTATGTCTGGACGTGGTAAAGGAGGAAAAGGTCTTGGAAAGGGGGGCGCTAAGCGTCACAGGAAGGTCCTGAGAGATAACATCCAGGGTATTACCAAACCCGCCATCCGTTGTCTTGCACGCAGAGGTGGAGTCAAACGTATCTCTGGACTGCATCTAACGAAGAAACCCGTGGTGTCCTGAAAGTTTTCCTTGAGAATGTCATTCGTGATGCTGTCACCTACACAGAGCACGCCAAGAGGAAGACTGTCACAGCCATGGACGTTGTCTATGCCCTGAAGAGACAAGGACGTACCCTCTACGGATTCGGTGGTTAGATACCCCTATGAGCATTTGCTTTTGAAGAAGCAACAACAAACTGCCTGTTTTCACGGCCACCCAAATTCTTAGAAAAGATGCCTCTAAACAGACGTGTAAAAAGAAACGTGTGTGTTAATAACAGTTCTTTGTTAAATTATATAATTGTCAACAAATATATGTTGCTGGAATGGGGCATAACATAGCTAGTCCTGCAAGAACTAGTTCACAGGGTAGGGAAAACAAAACAGTAATTATTTTTTTATGTTCCTATAATCCGAATATAATTGATTTACATTTTATACCATGTCTCCTTTCTGATTTTCAAAGAGGGGGCCGGGTTGAGAGAGAAAACATCCCCCCCCCTCCCCTAATTGTTAAAATGCATATGATATTCTACAAAGACACATCAAGTACACACAGCAAATTAAACAACGCATAGGGTTAGCTATCGTTACAGCTTTCTAAGACTTGTTGATCAAAGAGACTTTTAAAAAAAATGAATAGATAAATACAACTCTGCACACAACTCTTCTGGTCAATTCTACTCTGACAAGGAAGCAAGAGTTATCCTTCTTGTCATAAACTTCATATTCCTTGAAGTGATTAGATGCTGATTTTTCCTCAACATTTGACCCTTTCATCAATAAATTTATATATAAATTCACAGTTGTCTTTTTTTCTTTTTGGTTCTTCTTCACTTTATTATATTTGCATCCAAAGCCAACACAAGGTACAACAACATTGACATGGTTATTTTTTTTCAAAAGAAACAAAAACATCTATTTCTAAAAACCAGCATGGTTTAATAATGTGATGAATCTTGGTCCTCATCCATGTGGGAAACAAACAAATGCACACACATAAAAAGCAAAATGTTAAGCGAGATGACATTTTTATAGGCTAACGTGTGAAACACTAGGATTCATATATTTATTTATTTCATAACATAATATATACATATCCAATATGACCCTGGTACATTTTGCGTCGAAATAATAAATACAAATGTATTAATATAATGAATTGCTAACATGCAATGGGTTTCTTTTCTTGTTCTCAAATTTTCCCCTGAAATACACTTTATATATGAAGACCTTTTTCTCATGCTCTCAGCTTTCATGTCCTGTGAAGATAACCTAATGGGTAATGTATTTTGTTTTTGCATTGTTGAAGGGGTTACTCTTCGCCAGTACACTAGATAAGAAATGTATTAAGACAGGTAAGTATAAAACTCGTTTTATTTTACAAAAATCTTATACACTGTACAGCTGACTAATAACATTTTGTCATTGTCAGAGTCACACAGCGCCAGTTTAGTACAGGCATAACACTGTGTAGTTACAGTACATAGTCCTTAGTTGAGTGTTTCTCGTAGTTTGAGGGGGGAACTGATTATATTTATAGGCCAGGGAAATCAAATTAGCATTCTTAAATGTGTATTTTGAGAAAAATTAAGATATCGTTACTGAATTCTGCCTCTCAAGTGAACAATTTAACTTGGGAAATTCAATCGTGACTGTCTGGGGGCCTATTTTGTTGAATTTGAACACTGCAATAAGAACAATCTAAAAATGTGAATAGATAGAATGATAGACAGATTTATGGCATATTGGGATGAAGTTCCTTCTTTAAGCTGCAGCAAGGATGCAAATACCCACATTGAAACACACATGCAGGATCAAAATTACAGTCGTCTCGACACACTGGATGTTTTCTAGGCGTTCCGCGCACGGTGTAAACAGCAAGTGCGTGTGACCTGACTATTTCACTGACTATTTCACTGTTCACAGTTCCTGAGAAGTAAGTCGACGTTTTACACCCGTAAGTAGCCATGGCCGATACTGCCGCACCAGCAAAGTCCCCAGTCAAGAAGAAGGCCGCAAAGCCTAAGGTGCCTGCTGCCCACCCCAAGTACATTGACATGATCAGCGCTGCCGTTGCATCTCTGAAAGAAAGGGGTGGCTCATCCCGACAGGCCATTCTTAAATACATCATGGCCAACTACAAAGTGGGCAACGATGTTAACTTCATCAACGCCCACCCGAAGATGGCCCTGAAGAATGGTGTCAAAAAGGGTGCTCTGAAGCAAGCCAAGGGCACAGGCGCTAGTGGCTCTTTCAAACTTGGAGACAAACCCAAGACCGAAAGAAGCCTAAAGCCAAGAAAGTTGCCAAACCCAAGGCAGCCAAGCCACACAAAGACTCGATAGCACTGTAAACCCAGGGTAATTATTAATGTTTGAAAATAGCCTGCAGGCATATTACTATATTCTCCTATGAATATCCTGCAACACTTACATATAGCAGTAAGTAAAATTTATGAACATTTAATTTTATTTTCAGGTTACAAAAATAAATATATATATGTAAATACAGAACAGCCCACCCTCATGCACTGGTTGTGAAATTCCATTCAGAATATTCAACTATCATGCAATACACAAGTCTGAGTATAGGTGTTATGCCCATAACTTTCACGCCTCACACTCGGCATAAAAGGGTGCATACTTTGTTGCATTAATTTCGACGTCTGTGATTTTTCATGCAAATGTCCTGTAGCTTTTACATGGTTAAAAGATGCCTGAGAGCTAAAGATCCACACAATTTACAATATTGATTTTTCTTTTAAATTTAACCCCGTTTTCAGTACTGTATTGATCAGAACTTTGGTTTTATTCCTACGATACAAGTCATGCATGTTATCTAGGTCTACATACAGGAAAACGGTATCTGAGGATATATTTATGGTTTTTTTGTGCATGGTAACACGCACATGTTGATCACGTTAACGAGGACGAGCACGAACTGTATATACATGTATACAAGTAGATGTATTTAATACCCACATGCAAATTTATTACACCAAAGGATACGAAGAAGTTCTATAGTAATTTGAATTTAGTATAGAGAAAGAAATACTAGTAATGATTTTGACGATTTTGCTGCTGATTTCCATCAACTGCATGCTGGCAGATAAAAATCTCAGATCGGTCTCAGATCTCAATTCTCCATTGCTGAGCAGGGAAATCATCGATCTTCATTTTAACTTCTCGCGTTTAACTGAGAAATACAAACATTCTTTGAAGGTATGTGTAGGAAATGCAGTATATTAATTCTTTAATTATGATTTTTAAAATGGGATCCAGAATAACAATATTGTTATATGTACATAATATACTCAGTACATTTATTCATATCTTTTTTATGTAGGAAACCATATTTGAAACAAAGTTGGAAACTAAATGTACATATGTAGGATGTTCAACAAAAAGAAGCACTTCTCCATGTGGTAAAATTAAGTTTGTTAAATATCGGGAGTTTAATTACAGTGCTTGACCGAGGGAATTTCATAAGGGGGGGGGGGCAGTAGAAGATAAGGGATATGGGGGCTTTATTGTAGCCCCCAATGGGTCCAGAGCAAAGCGTTGATGGGGATCCGGGGGCGAAGCCACCGAAAGCTGAAAAATTTTTACAAATAAGAGGTGTTCTAAATAAAAAAAAAAGTCAAAGGGGGGGGGGGGGGGGGGTTGCATTATTACTTCGGTGAGAGATTCCTCATTGGAAGTTATGTATATTTTTTATGCTACAGGGGCGTAGTATCCGGGGGGGGCCAGGGGGGGGGGCCCACTTTTTTTCCCAACCTTACTTACACTATAGGAAATGTTAATTCAAAGCCTGTTTGCCCCCCCCCCCCCACTTTTAGAAATGTACCGAAAATGTAGTATAAGAATTGGTACTAAAAGTAGTTGACACTGAAAAAAAGTTTACCTACCTACCCCCCCTCCCCCCCCCCCCCCCCCACGAAATAGGATTTACTACTTTGGGCAACTTTTCCCCCCCTTTTTTTTTGCTTGTCAACTTTTTTCAGGTAAGTAAAAAAAAAATTTTCTCTGCCTGGTCCCCCCACTTTCAAAAACGATGCTACGCCACTGTGCTATACATATGCTATATTTGTTGTTGTTGTTGTTGAACTCTCATTTAATAGTTCTGAAGTCTAAGACTTGTCCAAAAGGATGGAAACGGAGAGGAAGAAGCTGTTATAATCTATTTCTGGAAAAAGTGAACTGGTTTCAGGCTCAGGTGAGGAAATTTTTTTAAAATCAATAAAAACAAGATAATTCCGAGAATTTGTGTACCCCGCTGAAGGAAAAACGGGGAGGATGCTCAGATTTGGGGGTCGACCCCCCCCCCCTTTCCCGGATTTGCAGAATTGTTAAATTTTGTACTGAAGCAAACAAAAAATTCCAATACGGATATAAAGATTTGAATGCTTATTCTTCGAAAGGTCCTTTTGATGTAAAATATTCATCACACAGTATTAGTTTGTAGTCTTTGTACACGTCATCCCTCATAACTTCTTTTCAGATGCTAAATACTATCATTCAGTAATTCATTAAAAAAAAAAATTAAAAAAGGCTCAATCGGGATTCGAACAAGGGACTTTCGCATGCAAAAGGGGAATCTTTCCCCTCGGCCATCGACGAACTTGACATATCAAGGACTTAAATGCAAACAATAAGTCACATACATATTGTATACATGTTTACATCACTTTCTACATTGTCAAATAAAAAAAAACGAGTGTTGGTACTTTAGCCTCTACTAAGCCCTTTGACTTCAAAATAGATATACATGTACAGGCGTGTTCTTCAGGCCATAGGGAGTAGTCATGTTGAAATTAATTGCAAAAGTTTAAAGGCTTCTCGAGAAATCGCTTGGAAATGAAAGTGTACAGACAGACAGAATTACAGCCGAACGGAGGGACGGACAGAAGGGGTTGGGGGTTATGGTATTAAATTTAATTGTAAAAACTCAAAAGCTTCTTGAGATATCGCTTGGAAGTAAAAGTTTTACACACACATATACAAAATGTATAAATTTACGACCTTGACCTTTAACCTCAAATTTAATTAGGGTCTTCATTTAGTCATAGAAAATTGTGGTATAAAATAACATTGCAGAAGCTCAAAAGTTTATCGATATATCTTGCAAAAACGAAACTGTTAAAACAGACAGAATTTTTTTTAAACTTATGAAATTGGCCTTTTGACCTCAAAATCAATTGGGATCTTTCTTAGTCCATAGAAAATTATTGGGTAAAATTTCATTGCAAAAGTTCAGAAGCTTCTCGAGATATCGCATGGAAACGAAAGCGTTACGCACAGAGAGAACTAAAGACGGACAGACCAAAATTAATATACTCAACTTTTAATGGGGGACAAAAATTATGTCAAATACTGAACTTTTATTTTAATTAATCAAATAAAACTTTGAGGGTGTGTTCAAACTGTCGGTCTTACAGTCTGCGTTTTCTGTTTATCCTTGGGCTGACAGAATAAAATTACTAAATTATTTTGATACCGGTATTTAAATTATGCATTTTCAAATACAGAATCTTAAGGTAGTCCGATTCTCAGCTAGGAAGGATAACTCTTTAATTCATAATTTAATTCAAAAAGTCTCAAAACGAAGCTTGAATTTTTTCATGCAACAATTTAAATTTTATACTAGTACCTCTCAATGTGCTTCTAGGTTCTTTGAGGCTCTAAGAAAGGTCTTCTAACAAGTCGAAATTTTTACCCCTTAAAAGTATTTTAAAAACACATATTTAAAAAAATTGAGGTTCTTTTAATCTATCTATTAATACCAATGTTTATTAGCATGATATGAAATTAGGAGTGATTTATAGTGTTTTGCAGTGATAGGAAAATTTTTATACACTATTGTGTACTGTAAAATGATAAAAGTAATTAAATAGAAGAAAATAAAATACTTTATATGTATAAAAATCGAGCATTTTCTTCAAAAAGCCTGGATACCTATGGTTTTTATAATTATTTCTAAAATGTGTTTGTTGATCAAATTTCAAATTGGTATTTTTATGTGCATTTTTTGATGAATTTTTTTTTATAGATTTATTTAGTTTCTATATTTAATACGATTAACTTTAGAGGTGAAGTTTGAAGAATTATCTTCGGTAAAAATACACTACTTTGATAATTCAAAGACATTTTTGTGAGCCTTTTCAATAAGTCAATGAATGGCTTTCAGAACCTGAGGATCGGACTACCTTAAGTCAAAATAAGATTTATTATTTATATGCAAAAATTGAGACTTTATAGAACTTTCATAAAAGGTTCCTTATAAAACTAAATGTGTAAAATAAAGACACATAAATTGTCAAAATGATCTGCAAAAATCTCTTTATAGATAAATTGCCGGAAATACGATGCAAATCTTGTTCAAATTGAAGATAAACGTGAAGGCAAATGGTTAAAAAGACAATATCCGGGGAATAAGGCAGGTATACAGTGTACATAAAAATTCATTAATCCTAATTTTCAAAAATATTTATAAAACTAGTATGGTACAACATCCGTCTGAATCAGACTAAAATCTGTTGTCCATTTTTACGCCCCTTTAATCGAAGATTCGGGGGTACTGCAACTCCAACTTTTATTCGCGACAACTTTGTTTCGCGATTTACCAGGGATGAACAAGTTCGCGACGATTAATTTTCGCGATCAATGCAAATGGTTTACAGTATATATTTTTGCATCGTATTTTAAACATTAATAAAATTATAAGGATGGAAAAAGCTTTCTTGATAAGAATTTTTGCTATATATATGTGTGTTTAACCCTCTTACTGCCAGAGGGGTCATATATGGGCTCTACCCACTGGCTGCCACAGGGGTCATATATGACCCATCGAAAGTGTTTGATATATCAAGTTTTTATCTATTCAAGAGCCATTGCCTTTGGTTTCATAAATATTGAGGATAAAGTTTACTTTGTGTGCTTGCCTTAAGGACATAAGATATCAAATTGTGAAAATTTTTGCATTATTCAAAGAAAAATGCACAAAATTACAAAACATAAATTCCAGATTTTTTTTCATCAAAAATTGTTTTAGAAGAAAACAAAGCCTCTTTAGACATTAAAAGTATTGCACATGGGTCCTTCATTAAGTGGAATTCTTCAACTCAAGGGAAGAACCCAATAATGTTCAAACTACATTGCTTATGACCTTAATTCTGTGACCATGCCTCTTAATTTCATAAATCAGTACTTTAACCAAAATTGATCTCATATAAAAAGTAGACATGAGAAAGGTTTACCAGCTAATGTCCTTTGGATCATTTCCAAGACTACTAATATCTAACCCAGCAGCAGAAAAACACTGCATTAGATCGCAGTTGGAACCACCTGCAATAACATAAATATTATATGATACAAAGGTGAAAGTTAAACTAATGATACTTTTCATACTGATAAATGTTGGTTGGAAGAACATATTTCTGCTTCGTTATTTCTACACATCGTAAGTTTGCATGCCTTTAAAGTATTCTCATTTCAAATTAGGATTGAGGCATAAGAAAATAACGATTTCTCTCTTTCCTTTTTACATTTTGATTCAATATGTAGAAGTCTGGCCTGGGGGCCATAAAACTTAGACGAGCTCACTTTTGATCTCAGTCTTACTTTTCCACTATATATTCCTTAGAAAAAAAAGTGAGAATGAGATCAAAAGTGAGCTCGTCTAAGTTTTATGGCCCCAGACCTGTTCAAGAGTTGCAAAATAAGATCGATCCTATAATCCTAAAGTCTCGGGTTTGATTTCACTGGAGATCGTTCCTTCGGATGAGACCATATACACCGAGATCATGTGTTGCAGTGGATACTGGTACGGTAAAGATCCCTTAATGCTCAATGGTCCAAAGTGCCGAAAATAGGTTTAAATTTGCAGCGCAACAGTGGCAAGTAGTGGCGTCTCTATATACTAAGTGACAAGATGTATTTGTGAAACACTGATGACCCCGTATGGCAATATAGAGAAGATTAAATTCTCAAATGCAAATAAAAAATGTTGATATCCAAAGTAATTAAGGCCTTCTCACAAGAAATACAAATGTGAAATGTAAGACTCTAGCACCACCTGTTAAAAAATATGACCAAAGTTAACGTTTTGTAAAAGGTAAGTCACACTCAAGGTCAAAGGTCATGTCTCTTGGTTTTTAAAGTAAAGCCGTGTCACAAAGATTACATATGGGGGGATGAAAGCCCTTGCCGTTCAAAGTTATTGCCAATGTTAAAGTTTTTAATAAGTATGTCACACTCCAAGAGCAAGGTCCAAGGGTCAAAGGTGTTGGTATCCAATGAAAGGTCATGTCACAAGGATTACACATGTAAAGTATGAAAGCCCTAGTCCTTTCCAATTCAAAAGTTATGTCCTAAGCTATTTTATTTTTAAAAAAAAGTAGGTGAATCTTTAAGATAAAGTTAAAAGGTCAAAGTTGTTGGTATACAATAGAAGATCTTGTTTTAAAGAGTACATATGTGAAGTTTGAAAATCCTAGCATCAACAGTTTATGAGTTATTGCTGAGGTTAAAGTTTTTCAAAAGTATGCCAAACTCCAAGGTCAAAGAGCCTAAGTTGTTGGTATCCAATGGAAAGTCTTGCCACGAAGAATATATACGTGAAGTATGAAAGCCCTTTTTTTAACACCAATCGTTCAAAAGTTAAATGGCTCAATTAAAAGTTTGGAATCCTGGTGTAAAAGTGTGACAAACTCCAAGGTCAAGGTCAAAAGGTCAAATTTGGTGGTACCTAAAGAAAAGGTCTTGTCACAAGGAATACACATGTGAAATATGAAAGCCATAGTCCCACTAGTCAAAAGTTATTATCACTGGTGATAAAAAGAAACTTTACTAGTTACCACATAATGCTCCTGCTTGTTGGAGATAGGTCTGGGCCATAGTATATAGCAAGTTTCCTGCACATGCATTGCGAAGACTTTCAAAACAACTCTCAAGTGAATGAAACGTAGCACTGAAAAAATAATAAATATTAAACATTTTTCTTTACCTAGAAAGTTCATGCAAAGAAAATTGTCAGTTAACAAATAACAAAACAAAATCAAATAATCTCGTCTCGATAAATACAATTAGTGAGACAAATAACATTTTCTCAAGATTTCTTGGTTTTACAGTTTTCAAATTGTATACCCATATGACTGGGTCTTACACTTGCTCAAAAACTTAGATTTATCTCCTGTATATGTGTGACTCCCGGTTTATTCGATACACAAGAACATTCTCTAACCACAATTAAATTTTAGAACGAGGCAAGCTATTGACAAACAAGTTTCAACTTATCATTTCCTAAGTTCTATGGTCGATGCAATGATTTTGTCAGTAAATACAATTCATCATTATCTTGACAGCGAGGTCACAGAGGGTGTAACATTTCGACAGGGAATGCTTAATTCTCCATGGCACGTGATCACACCGCTGATGCTTTGGAGGTTCATTTTACTCTACTTCCGATTTGTGTTTCATTAGACTTAGTAGCGGGAATGCCGGTCTTTATCTACATAAATTTTATCTATATCTCTTTTAAATTTGATCCTGATTATCTATGTAGAATATTAAGCATTCAAAAGCAACAATTATTCAAAGTATCATAAATTGTAGCAACTTCATTTGCTCTGTATGTTTAATCTATGATATGTTAAATATTTAGTGTCGAAATTATGATATACCAAATATATTTGTGAATTTATTATACCCCCCCCCCCAAACACACACCGCTTATAAAGTTAGAGGGAATATAGTGATCAGAATGTCCGTTCATCTGTCTGTTCGTCCGTCGGTCCGTCTGTTACGTTTTGGGCTACCCATCTCTTATCCGCAACTCCTCTTTTACCACTGAATGAAATTTAATGAGACTTTCACAGAATCAGTAAAATTTTTGTTACATAGTGCCATTCTGAATCTCCTATTTTACTTTTTAATCGGACTCATATTTCGTGTTTTCCACAGCAAAATATGGACACTGCAATTCTTTCTATAGTATTGAAGGGTATCCATTTCTTATCCATAACTCCTCCTTCATGTATATCACTGAATAAAATTTGATACTTGAAATCAAATATTTTTATAACATACTCGTAATGTTATTGTGCTATTCCTTTTTTTTTTAACTGATATTTATTTCGGGTTTCCCAGAGCAAAACATGAACTTTACCATAATAATCATAAGGGAGGTGGGGGTATCATTTAGTGAGCTCAGTGATCACAGTACCTCTTGTTTAGTCTTATTATGAAAGACTTAATATGATATGCACGGGCTAATGAAAAGCTATCTCTCTCACCCCTCCCTCTCTCTCTCTCTCTCTTAGATAACTAAAAAATCAGTTTACCAGGATACATTTTGTGCCATGCCTCTGTTGCTATTTATATTTATTCCAGCATCAGTGTAACATTGCTGAATGGTGCAGTTAGATCCAGCTACAAACATCAAAACAAAATATTACATTAGTCATTTAATATCTTTTCATTTCGATTATATATACACTACTTTTTGTGTTTGTGGGTTGTTTTTTTTTTTTTTTTTTTTTTTTTTTTTTTTTTGGGGGGGGGGGGGTGATGTTGTTGTTGTTTTGGTCACATGATGACTAGATATATATCATACGAGAAAGTTCAAATGGAATTCCTGGTAAAGACAAGGTATAATAGAAACGGCCGAATCTGACCCCTTATTTGCTGTAAAAATTAAAACTTTGTTTCAATTGTGAAAGTTTGTAGTTAAGAACTTACAATGATGTTTGTTTTTAAACCAGGACTAATTTTAATTCAAAGCTAAGACGGAGGCCACAAAGTGGTGCAGAAATAGGGAATTTTCCCAACTTTTATCAGTTCTGGTGGAATTTTGTGAAATTTTAGAACTTTTCACTTCGGGAAACATAGAGCACAAGCCTGCCTATCTGAGATTTTTATTCATAATATGCACCTGATACTAGTGCATTAAATATATAAATTTGGCAGATAGGTGAGCTTGTGCTCTATATTTTCTGAAACAAAATGTGCTGTAAAATCCATGGATATTTGCATAAAAATGAGGAAATTCGGATATTGACATATTCCCTAACCTTCCTGTGGCTTCTTTGTATCCCATAGCTTTTAAAAACTAATACTCTTTTGTGGCAAGGGGTGACAACAGTTTTTTACTGATTAATTGTTGCATCATTCTAAAAGACACCCAATGCTAGGGACCAAAAAAGGGGCTAAACCTATCTTTAAAACAAACCTGCTTTAAAAACACCATTTTCCAAAAATATTCATCAAGCATAAACCTCCACTAAAAACATTTTTTCAAAAGACTTCTTAAATTGAAAGCAAAATTGGGAAAAATAATTGATCGAATACATCTTATTATAATCTATTTACATATGTTTAATAAGATAATAGAGCCAAAGAAGAACCCTGACGATTTTAACATAATTCTACTACAATTTTT